CTGAAGTTAATATCCTCATCTGAATCTAAACCAACTCTTCAGCAATACAGGTGTACCTGAAATGTGCTCTCCAAAGCACTGACATTAATGGAAAATGCTAAATATCAGGGCATTCCATCCCTCCATTGCCTCAGACTAGAATGAATCAACCATATAAGCAGATTTGTTAGAAAAAAGCCCCACCTTATCAGCTTATCCTCTAGCATTCTTATCCCATCCTGAGGTGAAGCAAGATTCTACTTCTGCCAGCTACAATACAAGAGCTTATTAATTGGTCTAAAAAGACTATTATCATGGAATATAAAACCGTCATGATTCTTCCCCAGATCAGCAGTACATAACTCTCCATAGAGTCTTTCAGTACTCATTAACAGATAAAAATAATCTTAAACTTTAAAAGGGCACAGACCTTCACTTACTTCTAAATCAAAACAGAGCTCACCAAAATAGCAAACAAAATCACTTATACTTACTTCTTTTTTCATCCATAATTTTAAAGCAGTAAGTAAAGCCTTCACTCCTTGCACTAAATAGCTTGGAGGCTGGAAACCATCTTCCCTCAGTTCTAAAAAGGATACAGATACCAATTTAGAAACACACTAACAGTGAAAACAATAGAATGATACCTACCCTTCAGCGAATAAAGTTGCCATTACGCAAGAGCACAAAAAAGGAAAAATTGTGCAAGCAAATGAAACATGACATCCTGTACTTGTGTGCATACTGTAACAAAAAAAACAACCCAACCCTAAAGTGATTCTACATAGAATCTTCTTTTTTTGACTTATTCTTGGGTGAATTAGGGATAGTTTACAACATACTAAAGGTCAATTAGGACAAAACAGATCTAAAATACAGAACAATGGAAAACATATTTGAAGAAAGAAATCACTTTTATTTCATTGAGAAATATTTTAGTCAAAGGGGACCAGAAGGATGTGGGATGTATCTCTAAATTAGAATTCCTATTGCTTATTCCCATACATACAGAAAACAGTTCACACTAGCACGCTTCCACTCCCCAAACATTTTCTGTCACCCTTCCAAACATCACAGTTCTCCCTCACACAGTTTACATCATTTTTCTTCCCAAAATCAAAGGGGATGGGGGATGAAAAAAATCACTCTGCTACAGAAGCTTCTCTTCTTAAGAAAGCTGGTGCTCCCAAGTGATTGCAATTCCTTTTCAACTTTCTCATTTCCTTCATGGGGAAAAAAAGGGAAAAGACAAATCCTCCATAAAGAGTCAAAAGTAGATTGCAACCTCTCCCCATGTTCCTGACAAATATTTCCACTTGTCAACAGCAGATGGACCAACACTATAATTATTTGGCTCATTTTATTCCCTTAAAAGAATACACTAATAAAACACTATTTTTATGGATAATGTATTAGTCTGCTGGCAGAAAAAGGGAAGTTCTGTTACTAAACAGCCATTCTTCCCTTCAAGACGCCTCCTACTTGTTAAAGGGCATGAGAAGGAGTGGCAGGCCTTTGAGTTGCAGTGGAAGTCTTTCTGTACACTAGCTGACTCAGTTGATAAAATTTTGAGAATACAACACAGCACCACAGGCTGGATTTTTTAGCTGCAATAGAAAAGACTGCATGACATAAGAGTAATCAAAATTAATGAGTATTGGATAGATGAGTAAGTTACCTATTCTGAAGCCCAAGAACTATGAAGAAAAAAAGTTTAGGTAAATGCCACAACACTTAAGAGTATCATAAAACACTTCTTGCCAATGACAAGATAAAACCAAAATGTTTCTGACCCTGTTATCATTTTATAAAATGAACCAGAAAGATACATTGTGCTGATTTTGCTTACTGACCTGAATTTCACATAAAGTACTGCTAAAAACCATGCACTCAACATTTTACAAGTTGGTCATCACCATTACCTTTCACAACTGAACTGGTATCATCCCTTATTTATAAAACAAAGGATTCTGACTGGTAAACACCTAATTCACATGAGTCTTGCTGCCAAAGCCCAACATAATCGTCACTCTATCCATGGAAACCTCAATTTTGATTTTTTATGATGGGTTTATAGATCATAGCATTGGTCTGCAACAAAATATCTGCTAAACCATAGATTAAAAATAGCGTGAGAACAAGCTTCATATCCCTCCCCTAAGACACAAGTCACAAGAGGCTCCTAGTCATGTATTCAAGGAGTCATGGGATAAAAAGAGGAGGGAGACGAGCCGGGGGGACAGACAGGGGACATGACTCATAGTTAGCTAGATGATTTAGAAACATATATCCCACTGATTTTCCAGCATGAATACAGCTCCTATGTCTTCTGACCAGTTTATAAATTTTAAGTACGCAGGTATGAGACCAACCAAAGCGAGCTTTCAAGAAGAAAATACTCCTTTTTTGGAAAGAAAAATTTTCTGCAAGTTTGTTCTATTTGGTAAGATTTCTGAGTTGCTTTAAGTTCATCCAGAAACTTTAAATGCTCATTTAGGAAACAAGGGTTGTTCAATGCCTTCATTTGCTGCAAGGAGAACAGATCCATTTTCAATAACAGTGACTATTTTCATATTTGAAAAATGTTACGTGAGATTCTGATCTCTTCCAAACCAGAAGCCTGAATTCAGCAGCCTCCTTCAAAGGTTGATTTCTCTCCTTTGAAATGCATCATTTGGAATATGACATTTATTATTAAGATTAAATAGAGCAGGCAGAGGGCAAAATATTTGAGGAAAAGAAGGTGCAGTCAGACAGGCGCTCTCTCAAGCTCAATTATACATGGGTACAGATATAGGAATTACTGGACTAGATGAGGAAGTTTGGAAAGGACCGTCAACTGTCAAGAACAAGAGGCTGTTGAGATGTCTATTGGTAAGCACTGATATAAATGATTTAACACAGCTCATAGGAACTGATGCATCTTTCCTACAAAACCCCTCACAGGCACCTTTCCCTTAACAAAGAGCAGAAGACAACAGGTAGTTTGACTGAAAAGGTCAAAGAAAATTGTAGAAGTGCAAGAAAACCTCTTCAATTCAGCTATGAAGCCACCAAGAAGAAACCCACAGATACAAGTCGGTGGGATCATTTAGACGGTCATTTGCTGAAAGAAAGAGAGAAAGGCTAAGGGTACTCAAAGATCTTAAATGATATGGAAGAAGCCCGAGTGAAAAACTGATACCATTGAAGTAAGTTTCCTATCTTCCTTAACAAGGTATTCTTAACAGATAACGGCAAATTAATCCTATTTGGTTGGGAGTATAATTGCACTGTGTCAGGATCTCAGAGACTCTGTCTTGATAATCTAGAATATTTTCATTGACCAGATACATCATCAGCATTGGATGAAACACACTAATAAAATTGTTCAAAGGTTCCAGCAGCATGCTACAAAGTGTAAAGTTACACGCATCACCAAGTGCACTAAGATTTCTGTACAGCACAAGTTACCCTAGAAACCTTTAATCACCAAAGTAGTTTTCAGAAAGATCATTTACTAAAACCAAGAACTGCTTGGATCTAGAACTGTCACAGTGCACAGCATTGGCTAAAATCTGGTTAAAAAATAATGTGACTTTTCCAAAAAAAGGAATTCAAGTCTGGTTTTCCAGCTTAAAAAGTTTCCTCTGCAGTATAATTTTCTCCATTATCAATGGGGGGGGGACACACAGGGGACCATCGGGGGAAGGCAGACACCTGTATATCTCTTAAAACAAAACAAGGATTACCTTTCAATGTTTCCAGCAAGTTTTTGGCCACAAACCAACAGATGGCTTCAAAGAACGGAAATTTGAAAAGATCTGGGGTTTTTAGCCTCTTCTCCATTTCATAACACCTGAATAAATAGAAACATCACAAAACGTGAATATTTTAATTATCAAATTCACTATTCAACTATGTAATCATTCAAATTGACACAATGTCCAAAATAAAATAAAATAGCCATGGCCATGATAAATAAAAGAAGTCAAGTACCACATAGTTAAATCCCAACAAGACCACAGACAAGATTGAACTCTGGTCTCATCCAGGCTCTGACCTTATCAAGTTTGACTGCGGCACTTCTAAGAATAATGTTGGACTTCATAAAACTAGGATACAAACCCAATGTGTGATCTTTTAACAGATGGAATTTTATCAGGATTCCACTGTAATAAATAAAAACAATATGTTTAGAAGACAGCTCCACATCTTGGACAAAAACTAAATACAGCTGCCCTTAGAGCAATGCTGACTTGAGGACGTTCATTTCAACTCAGTGTCGCACACCTGGGCTTGCTCAGTTTTGTTTCACTCACTCACACTAATCTCCAAAGCAGAGTTTTTCTTTTTTTTTTCCTTTTATTCACTTAAATTATTGCATATCCTTCATTTTGCTTTTGAAACAAACTTTGCAGAAGTGAAATAAGAGTGTGTGCTTGACACAGTCTAACTGAAAATGCCACTATTATCTGTTTGAGAGCCTGTACCGATTTGATCCTGGTTAAGAGCATGAAGAAAAATATCTATTAAAAGAATATCCTACTTACTGAGGAAAAGGTACAGGAAGAGCTGAGACTAACCTGAGCTGCATGCCAATATTGAGGTTGTGCAAAAAGTTTCCTCCAAAAGCCATACAATCCTGAGATGTGAGCACAGCATGAATCCAGCCTGAAATGACAGATTCTGAAACTTAATACATACATGTAAATTATTCTAAAACACTTTTTAAATATATATATAAGTAAAAATGCTGTACCTGGAAACAAAAAAGCAAACAAATTTGTATTCTGTGCTAGGAACAAGTAATCTAAATTTTAATAACATGTAAATTACAGTGTTTCAGAAATCTAGTCGAACTGTAGTTTTCTGAAGGAGTTAAGATTAAGACATTTTTTACTGGGGTGGGAGGAAATGAAAGACTGCCAGTGATTTTTCAAAGTAAAAATTCCCAAAAGTTTTCCCTCTAATCAAAAAAAATAAGCAAGTCAGGAGAGGAAAAACATACTGAACAAAAGATAAAGTCATAAAAATAAAATAGGAATTATATTACTTTCAATATTTACGTGTTGCTTAGAGTAACTGAGCTGTTTGCACAACATAAAAAAATCATTTAGCAATACGGAAGTTTTTCAGATAGGAATTCAGAAGCAGTTCCATTAATTATTCTAAATACAGTCATCCTAATTCCAGTGAAATTATGATCAGTTTAAAACCCAGTCTAGGCACTTTGACTATATAAAATTGTCACATAATTGAAATATTGTCCTTGTGAACTCCAGTATTCAACACGGCAAAGCATGACCAACATTATGCTATCAATCTAGCTGATTACTACTGGATAATTTCAAGTAAGTACACAAAAGAACATATGATATTAGCTTCCCAATTAAAAAGAGTTACCTTTAAAATTTATACAGTGCAGCTTTAATGTAAATAAACTACCAATAGAGTTTCTTCTTTCAAGATTTTTTTTCTGATTTTGCATGCATACGGGTGATCTTTTGACAAAAGATGAGTTGGCCACACATTCGCGGATTACTTCATGGTTTGACTGGGTGTAGGCAATATGTACAAACACAGGAAGCTCCCCAGCTTGAGGCAAGATCAGACCAAATCACAAGCAACTACATATTGCAAACTACCATTAAATCAATGCCTTAATTCACTTAAGAACAACCAGTTCTAGTTGTTGTAGTATCACACGTAAAAAGACCTGAAACCTAGCAATGACGCTGACTAAGCAACATGCCTACTACGTAGCCTGGAAAGGAAGTAAGTTGCAGAATGGTATATGAGAGAATGTAGAATACAATGGCACATGCAACCTAAGGGTTTTTTTTTTATTAATATATTATACATTGTTCAGTTTTACTTCTGTTCTTTGAGAAGTGCAGTGCAATGAAGATTGCCTTGTATTACCAGTTGCATTTTGCATTTGTTAATATGGTTTCAATTTTTCACTTATCATCATCATCACCACAGTAGAGGAATAGCTCTGACTCTCCAAGGAATATGTGTATTTCAATCCTTTAAACACACATCTCCCCAGACACTGACAAAAATGACAACAAAGCCTCCTCACTGTTGCATCAACACCAAGGATTTTTATGGCATGCCTGTATCAACTAAAGGATTTCTTTTTTTTTTTTTTTTTTTTACATACCTACTTGCTATTTTTATATTGTAGTTTTGATCAAGGTCTATGTAACAAGGCAAGAAAATTTGGTGTAGACCACACAGGATATCTTGAATAATATTTAAATACTCTCAAGAGCCTCCCAGTAGGTGCAATTCATCTACACGCAAGATTAATTTTAAATCAGAAGTCTACTCTGAACACATTTCAGAGATTATAAAATAATGATGACATCCACTAGCATCAGTGCAAGCAGGAACAGCAAAAGTGGTTTTCAGTAGAGATCGGGTGGGGAGGGGTAGGGGGGGTTAAAGCCTTTAATCAGTCTTACAGTATTTCCCATTTTTTAAACGCCCATCTTGAAACCTAGTTTAATTTATTGGTTCTTACACTATACTCCATCATATGTTTACGTGTGTATACACATACACACATGTGTATATACACATTTACATTGAAAAGTACCATTTTGTGTGTATATACACACAAATACACATATACATTAGAAATTATCTTTTTATGATACTTTTCTTTTTGGCCACATCATAGTGGGAGCTCAGATTTAGCTGATTATTTGGGAAGCAGTAACTATCTCCAAAGATCTATGGGTCACAACTTATTAAGAACTTAAAAAGCTCTTCATTCTGTAATTCTGCTTTCTTTGTTCATAGATGTATGACCTTACACTTAGATAAAAGGAAAACTAACGTCATCTCTTGCCAAAAATATATGGTTTCAAAAAGCTCTGGGTGTTCAGAAATGTTAAGTGCATATATAGCTCCTTACCATGTAGTATTTATTCTGCACAAGCCATGAACTAGAACAGTAAACACTAAACCTCACAGGTAGAGAACTGAGCTATGAGAAAAATGTAGTCGTCTGTCTAGGAAGTCCATGACAGAGTAAGGTACTGAACATAATCTTCAAGGTTTATTCCAGAAGTAGAATCATGCACCATTTTCCTTTTCTGTGTATGTAAAGCTTCCTTCCCCAAAAAAAGGAAGACAGTACCCAGTACAAATCTTTAATTATAAAATAATAAAAAGTACTTATATGGATGGGCTGGAGAAGTGAAAATATAAGAAATTAACTGCCACTCGCTTTATTGGCAAAACATGGTTTGATTTATTAAAGACTTCTAAGTTTATGGTATTTGGGACTTTGGGGTGGTGGTGGTGGTGCATTTTGTTTGGAGGATTTTTCTGTTTTTTTTAAATAGATAAAGAAGTTTAATTGTCTTGGTGTTTCTCATTTCTTAAAAACGTACTGTAATTTATCAGATGCTATTAGGTGACGGCTACAAGAAATGTTGTTAAAGAAAATCAGAAGAGACCATGCCTCTGCTTTATTTTTAAAGGAAGATGCTGAAATGAATTTATGAGCTCTAGAGTTTCATAAACTATATCTACAAATATCCTTTTATTTTTAATAAAAGGAATTAACACATGAATTCAATTATATATTCTTCAATTTTATTTAGGGACACTTTCATTTTGATTCAGAGAGTCTCCACAGGCTCCACCACAGTTTAGATGTCCTGCTGACAGAAAACAAAAAATGAAGAAAAAAAGGAAAAAAAACCACCCACAAAAACCAAAAAAAACCAAACCAAAAACTTTTTATTTTTAATCCTCTAGCCTACAGCATAAGAAGTTTATGATGTTTTTGTAATAATTTTGCCTAGTAGGTCTTACAATATTCAAAAGCTTTACAATCAAAATTGTATTATAAAATTAAGGTAAGAATTCAGTCTGCATATCTATCATGGTGAACAATGTGTGTTCTATGAATTGGAACTATTTGGAACTATATCCAAATTAAGCTTTAATTTGTTGTCTTATAATTGGGTAACAAACACCCTTTCTTTCCATGGTAACTGTTACTACTGTCAGGCACTCTAAAAAGCTAATTACTTGTTTTGAAAATCTAAATTTCTATATTTTTTATTATTCTCTCTTATCCAAAATTTTAGGAGAAACCAAATGTTGATAGCATGTTTAATCACCCGGGATTGTGTTAAGTCCTAGTAATAAGGGTAAAATCTTACCTGTTGGAACAAATAAAGTGTGTCCTTGCTTCACAACACATTTATAACATTTGTCAACCTTGTCCCCAAAATATACTTCACTCTGGGTGACAGATGAACTCCAAGACTCATACAGAGCCAAATTTTCATCAGTGGGCTTGATCAAGTAGAATATCTTCTCACCCTATTAAACAAAAAAATCAAATAAATAAATGAATGTCCTCCTGGAGGCATACTACAACCTCTGAGTCATTCCTAATAAAGTAACAGATTGATCTAAATGGTAAGTATTCCATACTTCCACTATGGAACACTGGGGCTTCCTAGCCCCAGTGTTTCACAATTGTAATCCACCAAAAGCTTAGTCAATAGTACACTAACCAGTTGTAGTCTTGTGACGTAACAGAAGCAAACAAACCAACCAAAACTTTTCATTGGAGTATAAAAAATTCCAGCTTTTATAAACGATTTATGGATATGTGCACACATGCCAAATGAGAAAGCATAAAATGAAACCACTTTGCCTCTTCGATGATGTATACATGGTCAAAGTTTGTTAGAAGAATAAAAAGTTAAGTACGTCAATGATTTTCATTCAATTCATTTTTTCATACTAAAACCTCACTATATCACCTACCAGTCTATTAAAATGATCAGTCAACCAATTATAGTCTAGAAGTCACCAACGGCATGCTAAAATAAAAGCATAAAAATGCAACACCAACAATCAGTAATTCACTTTCCAATTCCTCCCCTGGCATTTTAAGCACAAAATTTCATACACATGATAATTCTAAACAGGTGATAATGCCATGGCAGAAAGCTGCACACTGAATAAATTGTTTCGCACAGTCACAAATCAAGAAGCCTTCATACCCAGAGAACATGGTACCAGACTGATGTTCCTCCAAAATCAATATGAAAATCAGTATAGCTGTCCTGGACACCCATCAAGCAATACTTCTGAACAAAAGGCTTAGGGAAGACAGAATCATCTGGCCAATAATTTTCCACCCATGAAAGCTTTCTGGCAATATCTGGTACTTCCACTAATTCAGACATCCTTTAAAACAAACAAACAAACAAACAAACAAGAACCATAAATATGATCAAGAGTAAGCACATCTCTTTTTAAATGACAGCTTTAAATTTGCTTCCTACAAAGTTATTACTTATGAATTAATAAAAATGTTTTATACCCACATTACATCACAGTAGCTGTCTACTTAAAACACGCAGCCTCCTATCTTTCCCACTACAGACATTATATTCCTATACATACTGTTCAACTTGGTGAAAACCACTTCCTACGTTCAAGGAATTGAAGTTGATACTCACTTTGTGTCCGAGAATTCCAGGCTGATCACATTCAATACTTTTGGTCGGTCAGGATTTGTGAAATATTTAATATAATTATGGAGCTTCATTTTACTGTCTGCTTGTCTTGCTACATCTATTACATCTATCACTTTGTCACCACCTGTGAAAAATAGGATGACTTTCTTAAATCTATCGCAGGCAAAAACAGCCAATTAAGGTGTTTAAGAGAAATTTAACTTTTTTCAGCCTTTATCAAAACATTTCTGCACAAAAACTCCACTACTACCAGCATTCTCTTGGAACAGAGACAGATCAGTATAAACCAACTTTTTATCAGGTCTAACTTTAATTGCTATAATCAGCTAAGGACAGAACTGAAACCACTCTAAAAATAAATCCTCTCCCCTGTGGTTAACCAAAAAGAAAAAGAGCAGTATAGGATGACTGCAACTGGTTTAAAAAAAAAAATTGGGTTTGTGGCTGCAATTGGAAAGACCAGCGTAGAGAAAGTTATCGAGACAGATTTATTCCTCACTCTTCCTACTAATCATCACCACAGCACTTGAATATTTAACACAAGGACCACTAGGAACTCTTTACCAATAATAAAACCTACTGCTCACAGCTTGTAATTCTTAGCAAACAGCACTAAACTTGTGCCATAATTGGTAAGTTTTTAATGTTAAAAACTATGCAGGTACTCCTTTGCAGACATTCTACAAGCCCACCCCACCCTCCTTATATACATGCATAACTTTTAAGCACACAGTAATTTCATTGAATAATTAAGTCATGAATGTGCTTCATTTCTGAAGACAACAAGGACTGGTTTACACATCGCATATTTTAAAGTGATACACCTGTAGAACTAGACAGGCAAGAAGCAACCTTTAGCCAAGAGAAAGGACTAACGATGACATTATAATAGCAATTGGTTTATGCCCACTTAGTTATACAACAGTCAAATCTGACAATTAATTTTGGAATGCTGGAATGTATCTAGACGTACAATATAATCACAATTACTTTAAAATTGCAAGTTAGTATCATCTTGATAAATTCCAGTTGGAATAGTTTTTATTCAGTTTTCTTATTTTTAATTTCAATAATAGAAAGGTAAATCTGTGGCCAGACCAAGTTTCTCTCTGAATCTGAAGAGGCAGTATTCCAAAAGAAAAGATTCATAAGTATCAAAATGATAGTCACACTTTAAAGCAGAACACATTACTGTTTATAACCATCATAATGGTAACAACATTCCATATACTACATATTTCCTCTATTCTGGTGCCACTGTAAAATGCTGATGGACAGAAAATCTACTTTCAACACACATCATTATATTAGGTTATCGCAAGAACACAGACAAGGACATATACAGACTTCTCAACTGTACTGTATGTTACAGGAAATCTCATGCTGCAATTGGCTCAGTCTCTATTTCACTGTACTGCACCCTTACATGAGGTTGAAACAATTACAGACTGTCAAGAGATCTGATAAGAAAGAAAAGGTCCTTGGGAAGCTCCAGCTCTCACACCGAAGGAAGCCAAGGTAGGAAATTTTCCAGGAAGAAAGATTTAATTCAGAAATGCCAGTTTGCTGAGCCCAAAACATTAAGTTTTGCAATATTCAACCAATGATTAAACTTTATCGATCGCAAGAGTGATTCATTCAATTCTCACAAAAAGAACAATCTTAAAAGTCATTCTACTTCATTGGTTTACAACATGTAGCAGAAAAAAAAACCAACATTCCATGTTTAGCTTGCACCAAAATTAACATGTTTGAAAGTTGAAAGGTAAGGCTGTATTCCTATTACATATCTACCACCCACCCACCACCAACCCCCCCAAAAAAAAGGCAACCATAGCTTTAATTTTACTCTCTGCTAGTCTTCTGGTTAGAAGTAATTCAATTTAGAATATATATTTAGCACCCTGGAAGCTCTTATAATCATGCAAATATTTATTTTGATTTACAGACAGGATCATTTGTAAGTACTCCAGAGTGACTCTTACCTACATAGCGTTCCACATCTAAAACAGAGAAAGTTGGCGGAGGAAGTCTGAGCCCCAGACCATCTAATTTAGGAACCATAATGGGAACATCAAACCCATGTTTCTCCAAGTATCTTTGTGTCAGCTGGCTTCCATGCATTTTCAAAATGACTTCATCAGCACTGGTGGAAAGAAATAATGGAATATTAACAGAAAAGCATCCTCCAAGCACTACTGAAAAAAAGTTATGGTACAGTTTGGGGGATGACAGATGGGAATGGCTACATTTGAATCCAAAAGAAGTGGAACCAGTACTATTATATTAAGCATTTAACTAAAAGACAAAGAAAACTACCTAAACCATCAAGGAAACTTTTATTGTCATGCATAACCTGGGAACTCATAGTCTTCCTATATGACTGAATGCAGTCATTTCAGAGGATGGGGAAAAGGAATTCTCAGAGAAGGCATTAAAGTACATTTTGGTAACAACAACAACAACAAACTCCGTTAAAGAATTGTAAGTCATTGTGTTTCAGTGAGATAGCCAATCACAGACAGCTCAGGATGAAAGTACAACCATGTTTCTCCACTTTTCTCTAAAGCATGTGAGAATGGATAGACTACCAGCTCATACAAATGTTCTGTGTTATTTGGAATGAAACTAAGGACTATTCCTGGACTAGAGGAATAGACAGAGAATATTCTGACAGTTCAGGCACAAAAAAGAAAAACAAAAACCAACCACTCTTGCTACTGCCCCCATTCCCCCACATAAACAAACAAACTCACGAAAACTCAAACCCCCACATCACCCTTTAGCAGTCCCGACAGACAAAATATCCCAGTGCAAAACTGAACAGGGGAAGCTACTGCATGAAAAGGCAAATGTATCCATCTGAAACAGGGATGGAGCAGGGGGGGATTCTAAAGGAGGAGGAAGTCATCCTCAACCTTCATTTTCTGAAGCAGAGAAAGGTTAGTCGCCTCCCCTAAGACACACTCAGCCGACAACGTTTCTCTATTTTTTTCACTGAAATGTGTAAGTAAGCTTCTGTACCTTGGGAAAGAGCGAGCCCGCAGCTGTTTAACGAAGGTCCGTGTTCCAGCCTGCACCGGTTTGGAACCATCATCCAACTCTGTGTAGTCGTGTCTGTGCCAGTTCCTCCTCTTCTTCACTACAAGTTTCAGAACGATTGAACTTTAAGTTAGTTAAATCAGATGGCTCAGATTAGCAGTCATCCCACCAGTGAATCAGACATGCCTCAAATCACATTACTACGATTAACAAACTGTATTGTTTATGCAGGTGACACTATACCTATCTGCAACAAACGGAATCTTCAGGACACCTGACAGTCATTCTCTATACTTCTATAGCTCCTTCTATATGAGAACCTCAGTGCACATTATACAAAGTGATTTAAGACTCCATATCCAGCGCAGCACAAGTAAACAGCAGCAGCCTGAAAGTTGTCCAAATCTAAAAAGTCAGCAACAAAACTAGAAGTAGAACTTTAATTCCCTAAAGCTCAACTTTTTTTTTTTTTTTTTTTTTTTTAAATAAACAGAACAATTGTACCTCTTCAAGATCCACAGACTTCATTTTATTTATTAACACAGAATCAACAGGACCTAATCCCATTGTGGTATCTCACCATATGAGCATACCCATATCCAGTCTCTCCACTACTATTCACTACCGTATGCTGTTCAAACCTAAACCACCTTTCTTTTATCCACTGCTTATGTCTCCTTAACAGTTCTGGGCGTAAACAGTTTTAGGCGTAAACTGTTTTGAGTAGGTGTGATCTTTACTATGCAAGCACAATACACATAACTTAAGCATTGCACCCCAAAACAATCAACTTCTGAGTTGTTTGAAACTTTAATGCACTATTACAACATTATTAATAAAGAACAAAGGATAAATTTATGTTCTATTACAATTTTGGAAATCTGAAACTGATAGTTCAATAGCAACTAAATTGCATTTTTAACAGTTCCCTATACTTAAAGGGCCAAGGAAAATGAAAAACCAGACATTTTCCTAAGAACTGTTGTGTTGGTCTCCTCATGACAAATGACAGATACACAAATGAGGGAAAAAAAAAAAAACTATTTTCATAGAATCATAGAATGGTTTGGGTTGGAAGGGACCTTTAAGGATCATCTAGTTCCAACCCCCCTGCCATGGGCAGGGATATCTTTCACTAGACCTCGTTGCTCAAAGCCCCCTCCAACCTGGCCTTGAACACTTCCAGGGATGGGGCATCCACAGCTTCTTTGGGCAAACTGTTCCAGTGCCTCACCACCCTCATAGTAAAGAATTTCTTCCTTATATCTAATCTAAACCTACCCTCTTTCAGTTTAAAACCGTTATGTCTTGTCCTGTCACTACAGGCCTTGGTAAAAAGTCGTCTTCTTTCTTATAAGCCCCCTTTATATATTGAAAGGCTGTATTTTAGAACATTGTAAGCTGTATGCAGCCTCCCCATTTGAATTTTTTGGCTGTAAGTGAAGCAGAGGACAAAGTGACTTATGATATCATGGTGAACTTACTGCCTGTCTTCAAATTTCCATTATTTCGTGACAAATTATTTCATAATGGGTATTTTATTAATTCATCTTAATCAACCACTCATTTTGTATCTTCATTTATAAAGAACACCACCTCACTGCTTTGAAAAGAAGCCCTCGGTTGTATCATCTATCTGTTTGTTAGCAAAATGCACTTTGGAGCACTTTCTGCCTATACAAAAAAAACTGTCTCTCTTGTCCTCAAACATTCAGCAGGCTGAGAAACCCCATTAAATTCCCAACAGGTGCCTCAGCAAAAAGGACCACCATCTCATCATCTGAGAAAGAAACTCCAACAGTGCTGAACTTGCTACCTTTCTAGTGACTTAACAGCATTTATCATTTACCACACTAAGAAACATACTAAGGGTACAGTAATTTTTAGGTTGCGTTTCAGTTTTTCCTAAAAAAGCCAAACTCTGCTCCACAGCATTAGATAGTTGCTACTGGAAGACCGCCCCAAGAAGATTTACTGAGACCAGATCTATAATTTAACTAATGTTAAGCAGAAATTTAGTTACGTCTGCTGAGGAAACACAGAAGAGGGAAAAGCTACCGTTACTTGTCAACACAAATGGTGTTTTACAGGCATATATAGAACAGCCCGCAATGCAAATATGACACCCAGCTAAACAACTGTATTAATACAAATTTGAACTTTATGGAAGAGCTCAGCCTTAAGTTTACCAAAGTCGTGATGCACCCAAAATCTAAAAAAAGAGCTAGTAATACTGAAAGCACAGCTAACGCTAACAGGAAGCTAAGGATTTAAGAAGGAAAAAAAAAAAAGGTAACTTCTAAAAAGAAAAAAAAAATGCTGCTTCTCCAGAAAAAAATGTTGGTTATATAGGAATAACTGACATCTTATAGTCATTACACATAAGAGGTAATTATTCCTATTGATAAGCTGTTTCCTACAGAAGTGACAAAGTGTACCCTTTAGAAGACATTTAAGAGAATAAACTGACATTTATAGCTATTTGCTAACCTGAAAACCAGTGCTGAAGAGCCTGCTTAATGAGCCAACTATCCAAATACAGTAAAATTTCATAAATAATGAAGCCAGGTTTATTAAGTTTTCAAAGCTATTTTCTCAGTCATAAATAATAATACAAGAAATTAGTGGCTAATACCAATTTGTAACAGAGCAGTTTCTCATAAAATTCACTGCTCTTGTAAGAGCTCATTAAAATTGTAAGATGATACAGCTGCCTAAGAGATTTTATAGCACAAAACCAACTTTTAAAAATCTGTCTTTGCAACACTTGAAAACAAGAAATTAAAGTTGTTCTTTTGCTTTACTTAGTACTTGGCAATGTACATCATCCTTCCATAAGTAAGAGAACACTGAAGAACAGAAAACAGTAATGAAAACTTTTTCTGCTTATGTATCTTTTAATTCTAGAGCTTTTATAACCCATTAAGACATTACAGTAACAGTTGCAAGTAAAATAATTTAACTGAATGGATCCTCACGCTCAAATTAAACCAAAAAACCCCAAACCGCTACGTAAGTTGAAACACACATATATGAAACACACCTCTCCCTCCCAATCACTCCAAACTAGTGGAAGGAACCAGTGTTCACCCTTGCTGTTCCTGAAAACTCAGGCACAACCCTCTGTGACAATACTAAAAATACACACACCAAAAGTACGCTAGACAGTTGCAGGGGGGTTGAGAAAAGGAAAGGAGTGTGCTGGAAGTTTTCATTAAAAGTAAGCAGAAAGCTATTTTTAAATTACATTCCTTGTACACTCAAAACAGTGGGCCAGTAACTGTACCTACTTTAGGCAAACACTATTCCTTGCCGTCTCACACTGCTAGTCTGTTTGTCTCAGAGAACACATGCTAGATTTCAAATGGGGACCATCAAGAGGTATACATCTGTACAATGAGGCCTCAAGTCTTGGAAGTGGTCCTTTAGGTGATTCCCAGTGACCAAAAAGGCAAGAGAATGTTAGCGTAGGAAGACAGAAAAATCTTGAGGAGCATACAGTAAATCATACAATACCACTTCTAAGGCCTGGTACATCATCTGATATTGTCAGCTCAGATCAAACACTGGCATTACTACCACTGTCAAAAAAAAAAACAGGTGGGAGGGTATTTACAGAATTTGAGAAGGTAAAACCAGATTAAGAAAGTAACGTCCTGACACCCACAGTCCTGTTAATATTTACTGTACCTTGTGCTCTCTTAAAGCTCTGGATTCTAGAGTCTAGTGACAGACCTGACTCCCAGCATTGATGCAAATAGAGCATTTTCAGACTTAAGAATCACTGAGAAAACTTTGAAAATAACAAAATATAATATGAAGACTCTAAACCAAATAAGCTAAGAAAACTCCATAGTGTATTACTATTTTTTTAAATCACTTTTTTTAAATTATTTAGGATTTTAGGATTAGTTATTTAGCATTTTACACCCACGGCTGCTTACTAAAGGTCTTGTAAAATTGTTGCTCTTCCAAATCAAGAAGAGGATTTATTTTTGGTTGAAATACAAGAAGAAATTGACTGGTTCTCCTGTATTCATTTGATCTTTACATCTCACTATGCAGTAGCTCTCTTTTCACTATTGGAAATTTTACATAATTAATTTTGTAGGATACTGAAAGTAACCATCCATTTGGTAGTATGAAGTATGTGTTTCTTGTATATTTTTAGTGGATTTTTTGCAGTATATCATTTGATTAGATGGGATTCTATATACATGTCTGCTGAACTCACAGATATACTTGCCCTCTTAAATCAAACAGCTGAATTTTTGTCTCTTTCAAAACTCCTTTAGACAAGGGGATTTTAGAATATGAAGCTGTAAATAAAAATGCTTTTTTTACTTACGTACATAATTTTATATGACTGAAGCACTCTGGAGCATTGCTGCAACACTTGAAGTCATGAGACATTATCAGTCTCTCTAAACACTGAAGTTAGTAGAGCCCAAACCACAAACTATCATAGATTTGATTCTAACAGCTTAGCTGAGAGCAATTAATAAAACTCCAGCTGAAGACATATTTCAACATATCATTTCTGCTTGGGTTGATAAGTCACATGTCTGAAGCTTCCACTAAATCTAGATGATCTACTTACTTGAGGCAATATGAAGAAATAAAGATAATTTTTACCAGAGATTCTTGTCTTTTTTAAAAGGCTTCCAACACAAAAAATCACTCTTATCTCACTGTCAAATTGCTGCAGGTGAGACAGAGCTCGCATTAGAGCTAGCAGCCTCTGCATTACAAGAAAGGTTATTCACAGGCATCACAGTGAAGCATACTAGTTCTCCCAAATAAAGAAAAGACGTTTCAAATTTACTAGTTTATTATTTTGAAAGGCTGATATGACCCCCCTTCTACTCCTCCTCCTAGTCCCTCTATTCCACAGAAAAAACAGGCAGAAAGGTGGGGAAAGAAATGGATGTTATTTGTATTCTGATTTACAGAAGAGACATGCAGATTTTTAACTGCAAATGACAACTGGAATACTAAAAACTACAAGCATGTAAAACAGCATTTATCTTACCTTTTAGCCCCCAACCTAAAAGTAGCTAACCCTGAACTCACATACTATAGAAGATACATATCATGCAACATACATTAATTACATCAATAAGTAATGCTTTATCACTTCGTTCATACTCCATAAACTACCAGTGAGGGTGCAGTGGTTTTAAACTTATTTCTAAATGGTAAATTTGGCTTTGAAAAGATTCTAGATCTTAAGTCACTGCTGACTATAAATCATTACGTGATCTTCAAGTGGGGGAAAAAAAAAAATCACATTAGAAAACACAAATGACCATGACTTAGTGCTTGGAGGTTAGAGACACGCAGTGCACGTCAACATTTTTCAGGTCTGAACATAGAAACTTAATTCATTGTTGGAAAGGTGAAATTCATTTTTACATTGTTTCCTTTTGAGAACAGAAGTCATGGGGAAAAATCTAGGCAGTTGGATAAAGCAGTATCCTTTCAGTAGTTACAGAAAGACAAAAACTGTTTTCTTCAGAATTGCAGTGTTACCAGCTTTCCACTGCAGATCTCTACAGCAAATTTATCTACTGAAAGGAGAACCAACGAACAGGCCTCTCTTGCTGCTCTGTTTCACAGTCTCTTCTGGCAACTCGTAAAATTGCATGAGGAACTTGGTGGAAACTTGTTTATAAATCAGAAACCTGAAATTCAGAGCTGTGTAACTCTCAAGAACATAAATAGAAAAAAAAACAAACACAAAACAAAACCCACAGGAAGTTCATATTCTCAGATTTCAGTGGACTGTTGTGGCATATAGCCTAGAGTCATCAAGAAAGGTAAGACAGCTAACTCCTACATTTTCTCAAAGTTGCCTTCCTATGTATTAGAATTTTTATGATTAAAATTTAGGAACCTTAAGCCATCTTTTGGATTTTCCTTTTATTTTTAACAATGAGTCCCTAATTTTCATTCTCTCACTCTCTGTCAAGTCCAGATTGTTTTCTTCTAGTTCTGTGCACTTTGATTTCTGTAATCCATAGTGTTTGTTTTTATTTTATTCTATCTGCATCTCCAGATCAAGGAACCTTTCAGGACGGTTTATTTTGTTTTGTGGTTTTTTTTATCAGCTCAGAGTTAGTCATGTAGAACCAGTACCTTCTAAATAATCAAACTCATCTTGAATGTTCTTCTGAACAGTCTTTTTCAATTGTACATGGAGAGAAAACAGACTGAAAGTGTAAAATAAGATTTGAACAACCCATACTTACTTAGAGAAGGCCCATGAAGAATTGCACAGTTGGGACAATGGTATAGATCAATGTCAACAGCATGGTGCTCCTCTACCCCAACGCAGCTGGAATAGTATTTTTAAAATGTTAATGAGAATACATGCAAGACTTATTTTTCAAGCTAAAAAAATGATTAAATCTTAAGTCTTTACCAGAACATGCTTAGTCTACAAAATCGTCATGAGATACCAAATCATCTCAACTACTGGGTTGCCACACAAATTTTGAGTAATGATTTATCACTGAACAAAGAATGCCATTTTTTTTTTTAAGTCATAAAAAGGAAACAAGAATCGAATTTCTTTAAAAATGAGTCCACAATATATACCATTACCCCTCATCCCCCCAAAAAGCTTTGATCCTAATTACAGGAAACAGTTTATGCAAAATCATTCAAGCAATTTTCCTTATAAAAGTTATGATTTCAAAAAAATTCTGAAGTCTATATGCTGTCAATTTATAGTAGCCATCACGGATTTTTTTCTTGGTTTCTCCTTTTTTTTTTTTTTCTGCAAAAACCACATAACTGACTTCTACCCCCCAAGACAAATCAATGAAGAATACTTTCATGTTCTTCCTGAAATTACAGTACTAGCTATGTAAATTACACACAGGACCACACAAATCACTCTGTAGCAGTGTTTTTGTTTTAAAATAGCAACAAGTATTTCAAAGAGCACTTGAGAGTTGTAATGTTTTCCCGGTGCACATTTTTTCCCAGATAAAACATTCAAAGTGGGATTAAAGTTGAAGATCTTTCACAACAGTCATGACAAAACATCTACACTGCTGTACATCCAAATAACACAATTTTAAAGCCAAAATGAAGTACATTTTCTTAGAAGTTGAAACACTAGAGGTTAATTGGAGAAGATGTGCTTTCGCACAAAGTTCTCAAGGAAAAAAAAAAGCAATCCCTACTTGCTGGTAGAATTTGAATCCTGGCAAAGTTCTTTCTCCCAGAAGTTCATTGACACTTATAAAATTGCTGACTTTATAATACAGAAGCAAGACTACAACACTGAACATTTACACCAAAATTAGGTATTTATATTCAATGCATTCTAGTAACACGAGAACTTGAACACTACTCCATTCAGGTAACTCGTTTCATATCAAAAGTGTAATGACAGCTTAAACACTGAAGCTTTGAAATGATGCAGCTACAAGAAGTCTTTTCCCTAGCAGCCTAGTGCCAAAACTGCTGACACGCTCCAGTGTCAGTACATGCTGCCAAAACAATATACTAAATAGTCTAGCATTCAAAGCGCACCAATGAGCAAATCAAATCTGAAACTGAAGAGCACTTCCCATGTAACTATCAAGGAGAACTACACCATTCTGGATTCTCTGTAAACAGATTCAGCTGGTTCTTCTACCTCTCCATTCGCTACATACCACATGAAATTCAGAAATCATATAGCTTTTTTATATACATACTATTTTAAAATCTAAATACAAAACTCAGCTGCCACGGTTCATCACAATTCTTGCAATATTTAGTATCTGTTTTAAGACCACAACTACAGGAATTGTTATTACATGAAAATTCAGCTGACATAAACAAAAAGGAAGGCAGAAGCAGTCTTGAAAAATGCATGTCCCATTTCCTTCTGCTTGTGTTCTCTCTCTTTTTATAGATGAGTGACTCATAATTCTATGTATTGTAAGAAAACTGTTTTAAAATGTACACTCTAAAAGCCCCAGATGAGAAGGCTGGTTTTATACATCCTTAGGAATCCCATTATTTTAGCTAAATTTTGGATTTTTGAACAGCTAAAGGTATTTATGTTGGACTGTATCTTGATCAAGTTTGCACAATTATTCAATGAAACACAGTGCTCCACGGGAAAACTTCACTCCCTTCCCTTTTTCTTGGTGTTTATCTGATACATTCATCATCACCACAAACAGATTATCTTGCTGAGTAACAGTAAGAACTTTGCGTCAAAGTATAGTAAAAATACCTTCAAGCTTTGACAATTGTTTGTCATATTCTGTTTAAGAATGTTAATTTTATTGTCTCTTACAGAACTGTACAGATAGCCTGAAAATAAAGCAGAAATTATGTTAAGTACTAAACACTTTCTGTGACTTGATTAATTCCATAACCTTTCATAAAGGCACATGGGGCTTTACGTACAGAGACAGCCAGTGACACTGGAATGGGATTAGAATAGCTGGAATAGCCATTCAATATGGAAAGAAAACATTTTCGGTCTACTATTTATGCTCTAAACTCAGAACTAACTGGAAAGGCAAAACACTAACTAGGAGATACTGGAAGTGAATCTAGTAGCAGATACCCGAGTGATGCAAAGGGCAAATGAGGTGCCAGCACCTGCAAGAACAAGCATTGCCAAGGATGCCACAGAGCGTATCAATCACATACAGCACCATTACAAGTCACTTCCCTGAGTCCCTTTCTCCAACGTACACAGATGAATGTGACATTAATCATTCTGGCTACTAGCAAGCAATCAATTACTGTGGTTAAGTGCAACTTCAGACCTCAAGCATCCAAGCAAGGTCACCAAGAGCTAGCAGAGAGCCTGGAAAGCATTAACATACTCCAACACAGTAATACTCCCAATCTACTGATGTTTTCCTGAATGAAATATCATTATTATCCTTCACCTCGCCATCCATGTGGGTTGAAATGTCTTTAGTATATATTACCTAGTTTCTGAATTGCTCATCTCCTGCAGGGACACCGTAGACTAATCCTCAGGAATGGTGAAAAGTTTACAGTATTACAAAATAAAATATAATAATAATTAAAAACAACTGTAAGAGACTACGCAGAAATACATCTCCACATCTGTTCATGAAGGTGGAAGGCCTGAACAGGTCCAATTTTACTTGAAAAGGTTCTAGAAGCAGTAGAGAGGTAGAAAAATTTAGTTAAAAATAGACTCCATGGTATCAGTCTCTGAGTGGTCAGACTCACATAACTTCCCCAAGGTGTCTAGTATCAAGGCAAGGTCAGCAAGGGCTAGTAGAAGAATCGGGGGGGAAGTGCTAAGTTTTTTTCACATACAAGGACATGCCCGTCATCCCTTGCTACTCAAAGTTTGAGGAACCAATTCTCCAGACTTGAGTCTCACTATAAGGTGAAAGTTTTTGATTTAGTCTCAACTTTCCATTTGATTACTATATTTGTAGCTACGTAAAAGGAGCAAGTGTAAATGAAAAACAATCAGAAGAGGACTGCCTCATATATCTGAACCAATGGACCTCTGCTTTTCTGTAAAGGGAAAATAAGGCTTCTTTCACAGGGTGCGGGGAGAAATTCCTGCAGAGCCTGTTCTCTACTGCAGTACTGCTATTAATTTAGAATTTAAGAGATGAGTACAGATAATTTGGTATGACAGATTCAACAACTGTTTCACAATTATGCTGGAATGCCTTGTACAAAGAGTTTGCAAAAGTCCAAAACATTTACAGGAAGCATTATCCCTGAAGACTGCACGGTTGTACATAGTAAGCCACCCAAGGCACCTGGCACCTCTCCTCTCCTACAGCAGCACGATGTTGTGAACAAGTATTGGATCCACGTCAGTCACCACACAGGCTGCTGCACTTTCTAAATCTAATACCTGCTTGCTCTCCATCCAGTCTGGCTTTTCTCGTCCCTACTTCCGATGTTATCAAGCACAACCACAACATTTTAGAGATTGCTTAACTGCCTCTGTTGGTGTGACTGAAAGAATCCGCATTTAAGAAAAAAATCCAAAGCACTCTTGATTCAAGGCCTTATTTTCAGTGTCCTTAAAGGGACACGACTACTTGAAAAGCTATTTTATCTTATTAAAACAAGTAGTGTACATACTCTACCATTATATAAAATTCCAAGTATAAAAGGGAATGATTACACACATAGCACTACAAAAGTCAAGATATGAGTAAAGTTTGGATGCCCATTTTCCCAACTTAATTGTCACAGCTGAAAAGACTAACAGGCCAGATTATCAGCTGTCAGCACGATATTCCTACTAGGAAATTTCTGAGATTTCATGTATACAAGGCATACTGAAAATATAAATCTTGAAAATTGAGAGATGTAAGCAATTCTCTATCTAAAAAAAGGACTGCAGAAAACAGATGGATTATCCTCAACATGGAAAAAATGAGTTAATTTGTCGAGAAGCTGGGTCGTATACAGGACACCATCCTCTTGGATTCCGACTTCTGTTCCTTTCCCCCATCACCTCAATTCCGTAAGCTCCTTTTTCACCTCTTTCAGTAGCACATGGAAAACAATTTAACAGACCTTTCTTTCTAGATGCAACTGTACTTCTTATGAAGTTTCCCACAGTAGCTTGTCTCAACACCAGTGTGACACTTTGTACCCATGCAGATGAGGAAATGTGACAGGCCATCACTGGAACGTCTGCTTCTTCTTCAATAGTTATTTTTAGATAGATATTGTTTTACAATTAGATATTAATTTACAGCTCAAAATTGAGCCAAAATTGTTTTAAGTCTCTTTCTTCTTGGGACACACAAAGTTCAGGCCCAAAGACCTCTTGGTTTTCCACAGTCTGACCTGAACAGTCTGACTTTTTTGCTGTCATTGCAGCAAAAATGCAGGTTCAGGACTCTTGCTAGCATGTTTTATCAGGAACAATACCTTGCATCTTTTCCAGGCTATAAAATTACTGAAAATTACATTTTCCAAGATCCCCCCTATATTCTCTCTGAATAAACACTATGGGTAATGTTCTTTCTCTACTACCCTATTTCTGAACAAGAACTCGGCACATCCTCTTCAAGTCCACCCTTGCATCAGCACCCACAACCTTTCCTTGCCTCAGAGAGCACCGCAGGTTTTATCCAGTAAAAGGAGGGAAAAAAAGCACACGTCTTGACATCCAGTAGGAAGAGATTAACAAAAATCCTGGAACAGCAAAAAAATACGAGGGGTATTAAAGCATGTTCCCTGTTACTAGGAATACAGGGCTATAGACGATTACTAGGGGTATAGGCATGTTTCCTATTAACTCCCGCCCACTATCTGACAGAGCAGATCCCCAAAATCCTTTCTCAATTTCCAGTTATCCACAGAACAGCTGAGAA